GGACTTCCGTTTGTACTCTTGCCTCATGCCCACTCAATATTATTAGTGGGCCTAAGGCTATCTCTAACTTACAAAGAAAAAGGAGTAAACAGAAGCTATAGGAAGTTATATGGAATAAGGCCCAGTGCATTAGTAATAATAGTAGCTAGCACCTATGTATCACATGCTGTGGGCTAGGCTCATTACATGTATTGGCGCATTTAATCTTTATCACAACTCAGTCAATAGACTGTGATGTGAATTAAACCTTTTGTGCTGTGCAAAACACAGCATGATTTGACAGGCCCAGAAACTTATAATTTAGGGGATCATTACATTCTCCATTTTCTAGATAAGGGCCTTAGGACACAGAGATAAAGCAACTCACCCATAGACCTGTATTTCCTCCCAAGCCATCTCCCTCTAAGTCTAAGTTTGTGTTTTAACCATTGCACCATTCTTTCAGGTGGAAAAAAATTGAGAATATTGTGTCAGAAATAGGTGTGTGCTTCATTGTCTTCCTGTGTCATAATTTTAGGGCCTTCAACTTTGAGTGGCAAGTTCTAGAACCTGAGAGGCAAAGAAACTCAAAGCATGCCTTGCTTTTGCCTGGCTCTAATCCATTTCCTGCCCATCAGCAGAGGAGCTCCTATAAATACATCTCTACCGCCTCTTGCTTAGGAACTCACAGCGGTTCCCTATTGCTCATCAATGAGTGGAATTCCAACTGTTTAAACTGACTTGCAAAAAGTTTTAATATTTCATAATCTGTTTAACTTCTAAAACTTCAGTATTTTGCTTGTCAACTTCCATTTCCGTATTCTGCAATTTTCACTTCCTGACACTCATCATCTCTCTTTCCATTGGGCATATGCTCACAGGGTTTTCCCTTCCCAGATCTGCTCGCATTCCCCTACTCTCTTCTTCCACCCTCTTCTCCCAATTAATCCCACTTATTCTTCATTTGTCTACTTCCTGCCACTTCCTTAAAGAAACCTGCATTGACCAATCTTCCCTTGTTCTGCACTGTTCCCTTTTGTAATCCTCAGCTCACTTGGCTGACATTGCTTGTTCATTGTCTGTGTCATCTGCAAAGCTATACACAGCTTCACAGAAGGGACTTTGCATTGGTTCTCACTGAGTTCTCCAGAGCCTAGTACATAGTCTGTAAGCAAGAGTTGAACAAAAACCTGAAAACTGTCATTATCTAAAGCTTAAGTTAACAAAATTTCAAAAGCTTCCATACCATGAACTGTAATTTTAGTAATAATTAGCATTTTTAAAATTCTATTTCTCTTGGCAATCTGCAATGGTAAGTAGGTCTTGTTGTGAAGGTACACAGAGGAAAAAACAGTAGAAAAATAAATGGGGTGCTCCTGGGCACTTATGAGATAAAAAATACACAACTTTTAAAAATCAGGATTACATTTAACACATTCTGACTTGCTCAGAGACTTTTTTGAAACCATATGCTTATCACCATATTTTTCTGCCATTTCCTTTTCTCTTCTATTTCAATTTTAGCAGACACAGTTCACATCCAATTTTAGGTATAGTATAAGAAATTTAACATATATTTTCAGAAGCCAGAAAATTAATCTTTTGCATTTCACCAACCTTTAGCATGAAACTACATATCCATGAGACATCACCAGCAAGAAAAACAAAAGAAAAATCATATATTCTGAGTTTGAAAATGACTAGATGAAAATTAAAATTATATGTTTTAAGAAAAGGCCACACAGTGACCCAAATTCATCCTCAGTTTTTAAAAAGTATGGAGTAGTATTACAGGCAATAATGAAGAAGGTAGATGAAAACAGTGTCAAAAAACTTAAAACTGTTTCCAAATATTTACATTTGCTTAGAGATTCTAGAAGAAATTATTGTTTTAAGCATTAGGCAATGAATGAGCACTTTTAATAACAATGCAGTACTGACACAAAGAGAAACAATCGCAAGACAGCTGCTTCTGTTCCGAAAATCATGTGGAGTGTACACATTGGGCTTCAAAGGATAAAATGAAATCCTTGCTGAAAAAAAAGAAAAGATGCAACAAGAGGCACGGAGTGTTGGGTACAAGACAAAGATAAAGATTGATGATCACTTTTATAACAGGGATGCCACAAAATATTGGGACCCTGGGAGCCATCCTCAACCCAAACCTATAAGGTTGGGCTATCCATCTCTCATTTTCCTATAAAATGTGCACATAATATTTTAAAGCTCTAAAAATTACTCTGAGGCATAGAATAAATAAGCTGTACTGCTGTTATCTCTACATTTCCTAAGTGCCGTGTGTTATGAGAAGTAGTAAAAGCTTACAGAGACATGGGAGGAATAGTAAACAGCAATGCAACAGGGATGAATCCCCCAACCCTTGTCAAGAGGCGTAAGCCTGAACCTTTGGTCGTCTGTAAAATGGGCTTGTGTAGCTGAATGAATTTGTATGATCCCGTTAAGATCGATGATTCATTACTTAATAAATAACATTTTAATGAGCCCTCCTGTGGAACATACGTTGTTCTAGGCTCTGATACACAATCCAGATGTTAGTGTCGAGGAAAAGATAACCAATCAATTAATTATAAAGAAACAAACACATGATTTAAGAGAAGTCATCTATATAAAACAAAGATAACAAAGTTAGGTATTAAAAAGTAATTGGATGAAAGGGAGATGGTGGATTTGAAAGAGAAATCTGAATTGAAAAGTATTATTTGAGCAACACATGAAGAATCACATAGATAGGGCTATATTTCAATGTTGGGGAATAGCATTGTAAAAAGTTGGGGCACCAACAAACTGTTTATAGTCTGTTTGGGGGCAAAACAGACTATAAAATAAGAAAGAACCTGGTATGTTCACAAAAGAAAAAAGAGGCCAGTGGTGTGTACTGAATGAGGAGGAAAATGGTAGGAAGTATGTTTAGCAAGATGCAAAGGATCATGCTGCATAGACTCTTTCAAGACATGGTAAGCAATGTGATTTTACACTTCCTATCAGAAGATGTCACTGGAAGGCTTGGATTAGCAGGTATCAATTTGGCTTAGATAGTCAAAATGCCACTTTGGCCACCATGTGGGAAATGGATGCAGAGTCAGCAAGAAGAAAAGCAGGCAGGACAGTGAGGACACAAGTTTGGTGGTCCAGATGAGAAACCCTGGTGAAAGCAATGCACAGGGGTCAGTGGAGATAAAAGTCTCATCATACTTGATAAAGATTCTTGACATAGAGAAGATCAAAATTGTTCATAAATAGCAGGTGGATTCAGGTAATGTTAGAAATCAAGGGAAACTATAACTTTTGGGGCCTGAGTTTTGAAGTATTAGAAATATACCAGTTTAAGGTAAAGAACAAAAGTATCTCCAGTTGGCCCATGTTTGGTTCTGAAACCTCCATCCGACATCTGGACAAAGCGGGATCTTGAAACACAGCTGTGTGGTGTCGTCAACACATCCATGGTTTGTAGACACAGGCACTGGATAAAAACCAAAGGAAGTGGAGATAGAGAAGGCTTCAGGGGCCACGAACAGAGGCCTTCCAACATTTGTAAGTTGGAAAGAGATAAAATAGTCTTCAGGGCAAACCAAGATCTTAACATTCCCTAACTCTAGAACTGTTGGGAGGTGATCATCTCTGATCTATGTCTCAAGTATCAAGAAGTGTGTATTTATCTGTCTGCTATTTTGCATGAACAGCAAAGAGTATTGAAGTTGCTAAAGTAAAAAGAGCATTTCTTTTTCTTTGATAGGCTAAATAACTGATCGGTAAGAAAAAAAAATTTATTTCAATACCCGAGTGCTAAGTTCAATATGAGACACAGATCTGACATAGGTACTGAGATTACACAGGAGAAAAGATATTAGTCATTTGGAGAAAAGAAGACAGAAAGAGATGCTTGGATAAGGTATAAACTAGGCAAGAGGTGCTCAGAAATAAACCCTAGGATACATGCCTGTGAGTGTGTATGTGTGTTCAATAGTATGATGATTTTCCTCTTAATTAGAAAAATAAAATATAAACATCTAGGTCATTCAGGCTGAAGTATCTCAGTTAAAATAACTCATCTCTCTGCTTTGTCTCACATTCTCTGTGCACATCCCCCTGGATGGCCCAGTGGGTAAGGGTATTAGTTCTAGGCTTACGTTATGGTGCCCTAAGGCACTGGACATCTGCCTAAGTCCCATGCGGAATCCTTCCAGAACCACCATTTCTTCATCCATCCCTGATAATTCACAGATAAGGCATTTAATCCATTGCATAAGAATTGGGTCTTGGGGTTGGCTCACACCTGTAATCCCAGCACTTGGAGAGGCTGAGATGGGAAGATTGCTTGAGCCCAGGAGTTTGAGCACATCCTGGAAAAAGCAGGAAAACTTCATCTCAAAAAACATTTTTTTTTTTTTTAATTAGCCAGGTATGGTAGCACATGCCTGTGGTCCCTAACAGGTTGAGGCTGCAGTGAGCTATGATTGCACCACTGCCCTCCAGCCTGAGTGACAGAGCAAGACCCTATCTCAAAACTCAAAATAAACAAATAAAAAAAATGATTATTGGAAATTATTGTATAAAATACTGTATGATGGAGATAACTATTCATGTTATGCAGAGTGAATACGAGTCAAGAAGCAAAAAAGTATTGCTTTGTTTTCAAAATAAAAAGATGAGGTGGTGATACATCCCACTGGGTTGCCATGGGAATCAAAAACATTAAGTGAATATGATGCGGAACTGATATTTGTTAAGTGCACACCATGCATGCAGCGTTCTTCCAGGCCCACAACTCTTTTAGGTAGGAATTTGAGAGGACTGCAATTGAGACAGAGAGGTCAAGCAAAGGACTCAAAGTCACACAGCCAGCAGTTGGTGGAGCGTCTCCCTGCACCGTGTCTGAAGGCTGAGCCTGTGCTTGTCTTGCTGGCCAACACTGCCTCCCAGTGGTCTCCCTCACCCTCCACATCAAATTTGTCACACACCTTATTGATTTTAGCTTCTGATTCTCTCTTGTTCACTCTACTGTTTTTATTACTATATACCCAATTCCCTCAGCAGCTGAACTTGCCTTTTCCAAAGTTCCTTCTTTATTTCACCTGCCACAAAAATATGTGCCTTTTACAATATAGAACCTATGGTCCTGCCAGTTCGAATTTTTTCAGTGACTTCCCACTCTTCATGAATTTCAAAACACATTAGGCTAGTGACTAAGACAACACACGGAATGTCTTTAGCCTAGCTTTTCAGCACTATATGCTACAAAGATGCTAATCTGGACTAGTGCACCTACACACGCAGATCATGAATCATCGGTAAGTTTAACTTCATTCTGAGTATTATTAATAATAATCACTTCTAATGTTTTTTTCTCTTTGCTATTTTCTTTATTTAATAGTATGCTTAAAGGAATCACTTCTAATTTTTTTCTTGCAATGACAGTTTGTGCTTTTTTTGTTGTAGGATGCTTTAGCTATTCCTTTTCTTATTTTTTTATTTTTCAGACAGAATTTCACTGTTGTTGACCAGGCTAGAGTATGATGGTGCAATCTCTGCTCACTGCAACCTCTGCCTCCCACTTCAAGCAATTCTCCTGTCTCAGCCTCCTAAGTAGCGGGGATTACAGGCACCCACCACCATGCCCAGCTAATTTTTTGTATATTTAGTAAAGACAGGGTTTTATCATGCTGACCAGGCTGGTCTTGAACTTCTGATCTCAGATAATCCGGCTGCCTCGGCCTCCCCAAGAGCTGGGATTAAAGGCGTGGGCCACCATGCCCAGACAGGTATTCTTGAACATATTTAAAACTACATGATTTAAAATCTATATTGAAATCTATTTGTTTATATCTGTAAAATATTCATTGAAACTGGATTTAAGAAATGGATATAAATGTCGAATGTTAGCAGTGTTTATGGATAAAATGGAACATTTTTATGATTTATTGAAATGAAAACAAGAAGAATAACATGAATAATAACTCTAGGATAGGCAGGTAATCTAGGAGCAGGCACATTGCTCCCAAGTTCCTGATGGAATGTAGTGTGATATACTGCCAGGGGGACCTGAACCTACAATATATTGTAAAATGGTAACTAAGGGGTCTCTTTATTACATGCTATGCCTTCTTCAGATCTAAATGAGAAGTTATTATAGCCTAGATATTTTGGATCTTCATGCACCGTAGTATCTGTAAAATCATATATTAGTCTGAAATTAAAACTGGCATGGAATTAAATTCTATCAGGCTCTCTACAATCTCCTGAAAACTGAAAACGGATTAATAGCAGAGGTAGGATTTCCTGTTTATCATTTTAAAACATGTAATCTTTATTTATGTTTTCGAATAGGTTTTTATTTTTCTCACTGACTAAAATGCCTGTGGAAAGCTAAATAATGGCCACAAAGGTGTTCCAGTTTAAATCTCCAGAAGCTGTGTATACATTACCTTGCCTGGTGAGAGGGATTTGCAGATGTGATTAGAAGTTGAGGGCCTTGAGATGAGGAAATTACCCAAGGGTTATCTTCGAGGTCTAATAAGATGAGAGCAGAAGGATCAGAGTTAGTAGTAGGAGATACGATCACATAAGCAAAAAACTACAGAAGAGGTCGTAAGCCAAGTACCGCAGGCTGCTTCCAGAAGCTGGACATAGCAAGGAGTCAGGTTCCCTCTGGAAGTGTCCAGAATGGCTGTTCCTTTTAGACATGTGACCTCTAGAACTATCAGATCAATTTATGTATTTGTAAGCCATGATGCTGTGTGTATTAAATGAGACATAGGAAATTAACACTGGCCCACTCCCTGCAACCTCTGTCTCTCGGGTTCAAATGATTCTAGTGCCTCAGCCTCCAGAGTAGCTGGGATTACAGGCATCCACCACCACGCCCGGCTGGTTTTCGTGTTTTGAATAGAGACAGGGTTTCATCATGTTGGTCAGCAAGTGATCTGTTTATATCTGCTTCAATGGTTCGGTGGATTTGACTTCTGTGAAGGTAAGAAAACACTCATTGTTTCCCCGGGGAGAGAAATTTTCTCTTTCTTCTAGATGTACAAGCCTTTCTGGACAAACCTCTCACACAGTTCTGAGCAGCTGCACCGCAATCACCTGTGCTATTTTCCTCATGCTGAGCTCTGTGAGAGGAAGAGCCAGGTGTCACTTGTCTTGAAACTCCATTTCCTGTTACCTAAGAAGTGAGAGTGGTCTGCGTGTGACATTGTCACCTTAAAATACCCTAGCAGGCAGAAGGAAACACCGAAGGTTGCTTCGGTATTCTGAGCGCAAGCACATGACACCAATCCAGCCTTTTTCTTTTCTTTTCTTTTCTTTTCTTTTCTTTTCTTTTCTTTTTTTTTTTTTTTTTTTTTTTTTTTTTTTTTTTGAGATGGAGTTTTGCTCTTGTTACCCAGGCTGGAGTGCAATGGCGCGATCTCGGCTCACCGCAACCTCCGCCTCCTGGGTTCAGGCAATTCTCCTGCCTCAGCCTCCTGAGTAGCTGGGATTACAGGCACGCGCCACCACGCCCAGCTAATTTTTTGTAGTTTTAGTAGAGACGGGGTTTCACCATGTTGACCAGGATGGTCTCGATTTCTTGACCTCGTGATCCACCCGCCTTGGCCTCCCAAAGTGTTGGGATTACAGGCTTGAGTCACCGCGCCCGGCCAATCCAGACTTTCATAGCATTCAGTGTGGCCCCTCACACAGGGGAACATGATTATTTAAGAGTATTTTCACATAATCAGTAGGTTAGAAATCAGGCAGCACCTTTGCATATTTGAGCCAAGAATGATACTATTGTGATACATATTTACTCTCTACAAACATTGGCAATAACAGGAAAATCAGAAAGTGGCTGAAATTTTGCCAGGCACACCACTCACCTTGTTGACTTTCTATGAACAATAGAAAACAATTAGTTTGGACTCTTTTTCAATCAGATAAATCACATGCTATGGTTAAACCAGTACATGTCTGTCTCATTTGTTGAAAGTGTTTGTAGCTGGGTTTATGGACTCTGCTCTATTTGCTTCTTGAGAAAGCAGAGTGATGGTTTAGGTGGGGTCTTCTGGGAGCCATGAACCAGTGTCAATTTAGATAAATCTCTCCAATGTAAAGCAAATGAATGGAATGAGTCGTGTAGCTGACTCAGAATTTCCTTAAGTAATTGGGACATTCCCAAGTTTCCTGGAGCAGTTTTCTAAGGTCGTTCCAAGCCTCCAATTTAGTCATCATCTCACTTTATTTTTAAAGTGTCAGTTTAGGTGACACCTTCATTAAAACCATTATGAATTTAATAATGATGATAATTCCAGAAACTGACAGCTTAGTGGCATTAGGGAAAGATGGGCTTTTGCTGATTTATATATTTTGGTGTGCTGTCAAGATGGAAGGCTGCCCAATTCACTGTGTCCCAGCTCATTCCTGGCATTTTTTCTTTAACTTGATCAATGTCATAACTAACCCCCTGGTCAACTTAGGTATTAACAGAACGTTAGTCTACCATGCTCTTAATTTTCCAACTCTCCTCACATCTACCAGTTTTTAACTTTCTATCATTTCTAACTTAAAGACACCTTTCAATTCCCTTCTCCACTTCCACTGCCACTAACTTCAGAAGCAGACTTGAAGGCCAAGACACCCAGGCTGCTTGGCTTCCTCATGTTTCTAAAGTCAACTTTCAAAGTCACACTACTCATAAAAATAGACAAACAGCAGTAAAACCACATTAAAGACACCTATAAGTAATAAAAGCATAAGCGTGTACAAAGAAGTTTGGGACTTGTTTCAGAATTGAATTATAACAATGTGACAAAATTAGAAGTGCAGAAACCATTCAGAGTGAAAGAGGATCTGCATTTCTTTATTATGTTTAAAGATTTTTTTTTCTAAAAGAGATGAGGTAACATTTCAAATCTGAGAAATGGGATGGATTCATTAACTAATAACCCTAAGAAGACTGTCAAATCATTTGGGAAAAAAACCTCTGGTACTTAATTCAAGTACCTACCAATGCAATTTCAAATATAAAACACTACTAATAAAAATTTTAAAACACTATGAAGAAAATAAATAATTTTAACCAAAGGATGGAGAATGCTTTTCTAAGAATAATACTTTAGGGAAAAATCATAAGGAAAAATATACCTTCATTTGATAAAATAAAACTATAAAATTGTTGTAAATTATGTTATAAAATATTTAAAACCAACAGCAAATTAGAAAAAATGTTATTTCAAACACATAGGAAAGATACAGAGTTGATATATTTAAAAGGCTTTAATAAATAAGAAAAGCAATTCCCTAATAAAATAAGCATAAAAGAAACATTCACACATACAGATACACTACACATATAAAGTTTCATGATACAAAAATGTATAAAATATAGCAAGTTTTCAATTTAACTAGTAAAAGTAGATTCAACTTAAGTTAAAAAATTGTTTTTATTGCCTACCAAATTGGGAAGATGAGACATAAAATACCTAGTGCTGATTCAGATTTATTGCTCCTCCCACTTACATTGAAAATATTCTACATTGTAGATTTTTCAAGAAAAATCTAAATTTGAAAATATATTTTAAATTTCTCCTAGAAACTCACTACTGCCTAGACCAACTCTGCCTTGCTGGCTCAGAATGTGAACTCAGCAAGATGAGCAGCTGAAGGTGTGTAAATATTCATCCAAGTCACCCAGCACAGCAAACTCTCTACAGTGAGGCTTCTGCTCTACCCAGTGCTGGGATGGCTCTAGAGGAAAGAAAACGCCCGACCCATTCAGAATGTGTATAAATATTCATCCAAGTCACCCAGCACAGCGAACTCCCTTCAGCGAGGCTCCTGCTCTACCCAGTGCTGGGATGGCTCTGGAGAAAAGAAAACACCCAACGATTCAGAATGTAAAACTGGGGTTATGGAAGCCTTCGCCTCTGTTGCCTAATCTCTCAGTTCAACAGGCTACCCTTGCTTCTCCGTGGGGCTGCCTTCGGCATGCCACAGGTAACTGTGCAAGCAGAGCCTGAGTGTGCTTTTGTCACTAGTTGATCCCTAGCACCAACCAGAATTTTAGATGTGTTTAAAAAAAAACTGCAGTGGTTTCATAAATAGTTTTGGCCATTCTTGAGCATATCTGTAAATAACTTGATTAGCTGAAAGATCGGGGATCTTCAGAAGCATATTCACAGAAGTTGAAGTTCTCCTGCATGTGATACACGATCATGATCACTATTCGAAGCCAATGATTGAATCTATTCAGATGCTCTCTGTTGCTCACACCTGTTTGAGGACAAAATGGGATATTAAGAAAAGCATCCACAGATTGTTCAACCATTTCCAGAGCTGGGGAGCTCAAGTTAGAGAACCGTGGCAGCACCAACCACCAGCAAACAGTGTAAAACGCAGGCCCGGCATCACCGCTGCTGTTTGTAGAATGAATATGTTCGTGAGTTTCTAGGGTCTACAGTTGGCATTGGCTCCATGATACTCAAGACATACAGTCGCAATTGCTGTTAGAAGATAACAGTGCAGATAAAATGAAATACAGATTAAAAACTGTATCTAGGAAGGACATTAAGAAGACTTTATTAAAAATTTCCTCCCTCTTCTAGTTAATATAAAAGAAACTGACAATCTTAGATTGAATATGTCTTAACTAAGGTCACAGAGAAAACGTCTTCCTTTTCTCCCTCTTCCTTCTTTAACAAAAACTCCTTGTAGTAGAAAGAAGGATCATTGAAGTCCCAACCTCCTCAGAGCTGGTTGGTGGAGACACTGAAGGAGGCCAAGGGGC